CCCCTGTAATATCATTGGGGTCCCTGTAATTTCATTGGGGCCCCTGTAATATCATTGGGGTCCCTGTAATTTCATTGGGGGTCCCTGTAATATCATTGGGCCCCAGTAATTCATTGGGGGCCCCAGTAATTTCACTGGGGCCCCAGTAATTTCATTGGGTCCCTGTAATTTCATTGGGGCCCTGTAATTTCATTGGGGCCCCTGTAATTTCATTGGGGTCCCTGTAATTTCATTGGGGCCCTGTAATTTCATTGGGCCCCTGTAATTTCATTGGGCCCCTGTAATTTCATTGGGGCACCTGTAATTTCATTGGGGCCCCTGTAATTTCATTGGGACCCCTGTAATTTCATTGGGGTCCCTGTAATTTCATTGGGGCCCCTGTAATTTCATTGGGGTCCCTGTAATTTCATTGGGGCCCCTGTAATTTCATTGGGGTCCCTGTAATTTCTTTGGGGGCCCCTGTAATTTCATTGGGGCCCCTGTAATTTCATTGGGCCCCTGTAATTTCATTGGGGCCCCTGTAATTTCATTGGGGCCCCTGTAATTTCATTGGGGGCCCTGTAATTTCATTGGGGTCCCTGTAATTTCTCTCTCGGAACATTATTATAATACATAATAGAAAATATTCACGGGGAAGCACAAAGCCCGTAGGGGCCGTGAAGCACCTCAAGGATACAATCGGGGTCAATCTGCGATCAGCTCCATTTTCCTGGATCACGAACCTTTCACTGTTGTCAATACAATAAAAAGACAAGAATTTATTTAATCAAATATATAAATCAAGTCAAAAAAAAAAATTACGTATTAAAAGTAAAATATTATATGACAGTACACGCCAAAATACCATCAAAAAAAGGCCTATATAGGCCAGAAAAGAGGCATAAATAGGCCAAAAAGTAAGTCAAATCCTTATATAAAATAATACGAGTTACCATAACACAAATCTGGTTGAAGTTAGTATTGTTAAAGGGTTATTCTTGCCAGTTATTATTATTTCCGGCCATGAATAATAACTACAGAGGCTGAGAAACACCTAGCATAGACCTCGACACCAGAGAAAAGCTTGCCGTAGGGCTACGCACCGCAATATTAAAGAAAATGTAATTAAAGACGTCCCTTTGGGTTTTCTGAGAGTCGTCCTCCATTTTAGTGTGACCGTCAACACTCAGACAAGTGAACATCACTATGTGTACTATCTTGTCTCTCTTACCTTATATCTGCTTGTTGGGGTTGACTTCTAGCTCTTGGCCCTGTTTCTTGGCTTCCTATTTGCTTGGGTTCCCTGCTCCTTGCCTCGGAGCCCTGTCGTACCTGTTCTTAAAACTATGTCACTGACTTTTTTTGGGATTATCCTAGGTGTTTTTACACTGTATGATGATTGTATTTATGTGTACCTGTGGGTAAATAAACTACTTCCTAGTAGAGGTTATTTTTCTGACCACCTAGAGGCTGAAGAAATACTTCCTGACGTCCCTGTGATTCAATCTGTGGTGCAGTTGTGCCCCGGGTACCTGTTTTCCCGCCTCTCAATCTATCGTTGTAGGCTATACCAATTCCTATGGGGTATTTTGTATGTCATTATCATGTCTTTTCTGGTTTCCTCAGCTCACATACTGAATATCCGTGGTTCAATCGCCGGAATGGGTGTAAGTTTATTTAGGTACAGATATACAACAGTACAATTGTCATATATAATAACGTGCAAAATAACCACAGTGAAAAAATAGTGAAGTTCCAAGTGATTTCATGATTTCTCACATTATTAATACCTGGAGTATACCTGGAGAGGGCTTTGGGGGTCAACGCCCCCGCGGCCCGGTCTGTGACCAGGCCTCACGGTGGATCAGGGCCTGATTAACCAGGCTGTTACTGTTGGCCGCACGTAACCCAATGTATGAACCACAACCCGCTGGTCAGGTACTGACTTTAGGTGCCTGTTTCCAGTGCCTGCTTGAAGACAGCCAGGGGTCAATTGGTAATCCCCCTTATGTTTGCTGGGAGGCAGTTAAACAGTCTAGGGCCCCTGACACTTATTATGATGTCTCTTATCGTTCTAGTGGTGCCCCTGCTCTTCATTAGGGGATGTTGCATCGTCTTTCGAGTGTCTTGCTTTAGTAGGGTGTGATTTTTCGTGTGCAAGTTTGGTACTAATTCCTCTAGGATTTTCCAGGTGTATATAATCATGTATCTCTCCCGCCTGCTTTCCGGGGAATACAGTTTCGGGAAACCCTCAACGCCCCCAGAATTGAGATGTTTTATCTCCTTATGCGCGCCATAAAGGTTTCTCTGTCTTTTTTCTAGTCAAAATTTTCACCTGCCTTAAAAGGGTGCTGTTAGTGTGCAGCAAAATTCCAGCCTGATAGAACAAGGGCCCTGAAGATGTCATCAGGGGCTTGGCCCCCCTATTTTGAGGTTCCATTATCCCCTGTCTTTTTTCTAGCAATACGACGATAAAATTTATGGTCCTTGAAGGTGGATCCTCTAATAACCTCCCCGTCTTTACATTAGTTTTCCTCTATTGTGTGGTTGGAATTTGTTTTAACTCCACTATGTTTTAATTTTCCCACGTTTTCCCTATCAAGTAATTGAAATTTCTCAAACGTTTAAATTCATATTTTTTTCTGCAGCCCATTGAAAGATTTGGTTTATGTCCGCCGGACCTTTTAGTGTCGCAATGGAAACACCGCATGCAAATTCGGGGGTCGCCCGCAAAGGGAAAACACGGTGCTGTGGGGGAACCTTGTCTTTGTAATATAGGATGAGAAACAAGATGGGAGCGAGTACTGTGCCTTGGGGAACAACTTTTACCCTACTGCCCCTGTTGACTACTCTCCCCCGTGTTCTGTTTTTGGGGGAAAATTTTAGATCCCCACCAACTTTTCCTGTTTTTTCCTTTAGCCCATTTTGTGCGCTATTACACCATGGCACATTTGTCAAAGCTTTTTCAAAGCTGTATATACTACATCTGCGTTTTGTTATCAAAAAATAATTGAGAAATGACGAAAAGTCCTTGGAATTCACTGTTTTTTTTCACTGTGGGGATTTTGCATATTTGAATCACCTGTTTTACTAAGATTAGTCTGCCCCAATGCGCGACACGTTTGTGGGGTTTCTTGTACTTAGCAAAACAATTTGTAAATTTCATGTTGTAACCTTTACAGAGAAATAAAACCCCCTTTATTGCACAGTAACATGTGTAAATTACCCTCTAGGGGAAAACCCCAAAAAAAAGTCAGAATAATGATTTTTACCACGGGGGTCCTTGTTTTCCCCTGAGGTCTTTAATCTCTAATGGGGTCCCCTTTTATTTCACTGTGGCTCTTTGTTTAAATTTTGGTTGAGTGACTAACAATGGAGCACAAGAAACCTCCCGAGAGGGCCACCATGATCTTGCCCAAAAAAACCCCCTTAGAAAATGCGGACTTATTTTTTCTCATCGTGGTATACAAACCCCCACCCCGCCGTGATAAACACCTAATACAAAAAACCCCCATTAGTCAACAACTATACACACTAATAACCTAACAACTCTCTCTTTTGGGCATATAAATTTGGGGGTTTTTTAACCTTTTTACTATTACAGACCCCCGATGGATTGCCCCAATGGTTCCATAACCCCTTTTACCAAATTCGAAAACACCCCCCAGGTACCATATAACGACTTCAAAGATGTCATAGCTTGGTTACCCAGTCCATTATACAAGCGTACTTCAAAACATTCAATAGCTTGGTTTTTTCTTATATATGGATAGCTAGAAACAGAACAGCTGGTGTCAGTCGAATGGTGTGGGTCGCATCCTGGGACAAAACTGACCTAATCTGCGGGAAATGGTATGTATTATCAACAAGTTAATAAGACACATGTGCAACATAAGGAATCTTCATTGAAGAAATGTTTCGTCTGTAGTATAGGCTTCATCACTGGAATACAGGGATGAATTACGCTCTTGGAGAGCTCAGCTTTGGTGGAAGGCCAAGGGGAAAGGAAGTTTGAAGACTACATAAAACTACCTCCCCACTTCCCCTCCGTCTCACCAAAGCCTGTTCTCTCCAGAGTATTAGGGTTGTCCTAGGTTTCTCTACACATATGCTGCTATGTATGATAATCTATGTAACTATTTGTGTATACGTGAACAAACTTACTAACCCACTCAGCTCACACATTGGGGTCCAGAGTTCGAATCCCGGCACGGATGGATAACATTTGACGTGTTTCCATAAGACATCTGCTGTCCATGTTCACCCCATCAGTATAAAATGAGTACCTGAGTGTTAGTGGTGGCCCGGTGGTCTGGTGGCTAAAGCTCCCGCTTCACACAACGGAGAGCCCGGGTTTCGATTCCCGGCGGGTGGAAACATTTCGACACGTTTCCTTACCACTGTTGTCCTGTTCACCTAGCAGCAAATAGGTACCTGGGTGTTAGTTTGACTGGTGTGGGTTTGCATCCTGGGGTACAAGATTAAGGACCCCAATGGAAATAAGTTAGACAGTCCTCGATGACGCACTGACTTTCTTGGGTTATCCTGGGTGGCTAACCCTCCGGGGTTAAAAATCCGAACGAAATCTTATCTTATCTTATCTTATCTTATCTGTCGGCTGGTGTGGGTCGCCTTCTGGGGGATCAAATTGACCTAATTTGACTGAAATGCTCTGCATAACAAGTGGTTTTCTATATAGTAGTATGTCATTGATCATCAGCTCACATACTGAGGATCTAGAGTCGATCCCCGGCACGGGTGAAATGTTGGGCACATTTCTTTGTACATTCTGCCTCTAACAATCCTTGACAAACTTTGGTAATTCTTAACCTAAACATCTTTGGCAGCCCTTAACAGCCCTATACAAGTTTTAATAGCCCATAACAACCCTCAAACTTTAGTAACCCTGAACAAGCCTTGGTAGCCCTTAACAACCCTCAAACATTAGTAACCCTCAACAAGCCTTGGTAGCCCTTAACAACCCTCAAACATTAGTAACCCTCAACAAGCCTTGGTAGCCCTTAACAACCCTCAAAAAGCTTTGGTAGCCTTTAACAACCCTCAACTACAACTACAAAATGTCTGCTTTCCATAGCCAATGACAATATTTAAGACATGAAAACTGATCAGGCAGCTTGTATTGTCTAGCCAGATGATTAAGCTTAACAGCTGAGCACTGTGTGAGCCATGGAGGTTGATGGAGTCCCATCACAGGTGAGTAATAAAGCTTTTGTGAGATAGATACACCCTTTGAATTTGAATTGAATTTTGTATGGAGGTGCCACTGAGTTATATGTCCCTTGTATGGTGGTGCTGCTGTGTTATTATATGTTCCTTGTATGGAGTTGCTGCTGAGTTATTATATGTCCCTTGTATGGAGGTGCTGCTGAGTTATTATATGTTCCTTGTATGGAGGTGCTGCTAAGTTACTATATGTCCCTTGTATGGAGGTGCTACTGAGTTATTATATGTCCCTTGTATGGAGGTGCTGCTGTGTTATTATATGTTCCTTGTATGGAGTTGCTGCTGAGTTATTATATGTCCCTTGTATGGTGGTGCTGCTGTGTTATTATATGTTCCTTGTATGGAGTTGCTGCTGAGTTATTATATGTCCCTTGTATGGAGGTGCTGCTGAGTTATTATATGTTCCTTGTATGGAGGTGCTGCTAAGTTACTATATGTCCCTTGTATGGAGGTGCTACTGAGTTATTATATGTCCCTTGTATGGAGGTGCTGCTGTGTTATTATATGTTCCTTGTATGGAGGTGCTGCTAAGTTATTATATGTCCCTTGTATGGAGGTGCTGCTGAATTATTATATGTCCCTTGTATGGAGGTGCTGCTGAGTTATTATATGTCCCTTGTATGGAGGTGCTGCTGAGTTATTATATGTTCCTTGTATGGAGGTGCTGCTAAGTTATTATATGTCCCTTGTATGGAGGTGCTGCTGAATTATTATATGTCCCTTGTATGGAGGTGCTGCTGTGTTATATGTTCCTTGTATGGAGGTGCTGCTGAGTTATTATATGTCCCTTGTATGGAGGTGCTGCTGAGTTATTATATGTTCCTTGTATGGAGGTGCTGCTAAGTTATTATATGTCCCTTGTATGGAGGTGCTGCTGTGTTATTATATGTCCCTTGTATGGAGGTGCTGCTGAATTATTATATGTCCCTTGTATGGAGGTGCTACTGAGTTATTATATGTCCCTTGTATGGAGGTGCTGCTGAGTTATTATATGTCCCTTGTATGGAGGTGCTACTGAGTTATTATATGTCCCTTGTATGGAGGTGCTACTGAGTTATTATATGTCCCTTGTATGGAGGTGCTACTGAGTTATTATATGTCCCTTGTATGGTGGTGCTACTGAGTTATTATATGTCCCTTGTATGGAGGTGCTGCTGTGTTATTACATGTCCCTTGTATGGAGGTGATGCTGAGTTATTATATGTCCCTTGTATGGAGGTGCTACTGAGTTTATTATATGTCCCTTGTGTGGAGGTGCTGCTGAGTTATTATATGTCCCTTGTATGGAGGTGCTGCTGAGTTATTATATGTCCCTTGTGTGGAGGTGCTGCTGCTGAGTTATTATATGTCCCTTGTATGGAGGTGCTGCTGAGTTATTATATGTCCCTTGTATGGAGGTGCTGCTGAGTTATTATATGTCCCTTGTATGGAGGTGCTACTGAGTCATTATATGTTCCTTGTATGGAGGTGCTACTGAGTTATTATATGTCCTTGTATGGAGGTGCTGCTGAGTTATTATATGTCCCTTGTATGGAGGTGCTGCTGCTGAGTTATTACATGTCCCTTGTATGGTGGTGCTGCTGAGTTATTATATGTCCCTTGTATGGAGGTGCTACTGAGTTATTATATGTCTCTTGTATGGATTTGCTACTGAGTTATTATATGTCCCTTGTATGGTGGTGCTACTGAGTTATTATATGTCCCTTGTATGGAGGTGCTACTGAGTTATTATATGTCCCTTGTATGGAGGTGCTACTGAGTTATTATATGTCCCTCATATGGAGGTGCTACTGAGTTATTATATGTCCCTTGTATGGAGGTGCTACTGAGTTATTATATGTCCCTTGTATGGTGGTGCTACTGAGTTATTATATGTCCCTTGTATGGAGGTGCTACTGAGTTATTATATGTCCCTTGTATGGAGGTGCTACTGAGTTATTATATGTCCCTTGTATGGAGGTGCTGCTGTGTTATTACATGTCCCTTGTATGGAGGTGCTGCTGTGTTATTTTATGTCCCTTGTATGGAGGTGCTGCTGAGTTATTATATGTCCTTTGTATTGTGCTGCTTAGTTATTACATGTCCCTTGTATGGAGGTGCTGCTGAGTTATTATATGTCCCTTGTATGGAGGTGCTACTGAGTTATTATATGTCCCTTGTATGGAGGTGCTACTGAGTTATTATATGTCCCTTGTATGGAGGTGCTGCTGAATTAGTTGTGTTGCTTGACCAGTTACTTTATTTTTTGAGGAAAAATCCATTAATAGTCATAAGTTTATTTTTATGCCATCAATAATATCAGCTATTCCTAAATCAAATTTAAATCGTATTTTTGTAAAAATTATCATGTCGTTTTATTATGTCTTCATCACAAAAATTATATTAGTCATTTCATATATAATTTCTTCATGTAGGGAATAAACACAATGTTTAGTTACAATCACAGATACATATAAGAACGTATTTTATTATCATTATAACACCATTATTGTGTTGGAATCTCTTCGTAAAACGTTTTATTTGTTTAGCTGATGGAAATGGGGATACAGTCTTGAGAGTTTAAATATTAACAATGAAATGTTTTGTTATATCCTGTGAAATTTTCATGGAGGTTTCTGTGAAATTCTGAATGTTTGTACACTCAAAGATATAGTGTCTCAGTGTATAATACTGTCACTGTCCACACACTGGTGTACGATCCTGTCACTGACCACATGCTGGTGTATGACACTGTTTTTGACCACACTAGTGTATGAAACTGTCTCTGTCTATACACTGTGTTTAACATCAATGACATTTCTATACAAACCATGCTGCCAGAAATATTTCTAGCCTAGCCTTACTCTAGCAGTAACAACATCTTGCACCCTACTGGCCTTGTTGCTTTTTCTGTGCTTAATTTAATGTGGCATATTTCATTATGATGGATGATTGATCTGCTGGTAGTTTTACTTTCTTTATCCTCATTTGCTTGCACTAAATCTCCAAGGTTCTGCTAGAAAAATGATAGGATGGATAATGAGAACCTTCAAAACTAGGGACACCAAGCTCATGATGATTCTCTTCAAATTGCTTCCCCTCAAGGAAGATTCCTTGATGTTGGTGAGGGGCTCTTGATTTAGGGAATTGGATCTGTGCTCCAGTTCCCCGAATTAAGCCTGAATGCCTTCTACATCCCCCTCCCAGGCGCTGTATAATCCTCCAGGTTTAGCGCTTCCCCCTTGATTATAATAATAATTCAAATTGCTTGTTCTCTCTAGGCTGGAATGCTACTGTACACTAACTGCCCTCTTCAAGGCTGGCAAAATTGCTGACCTGGAGAGTGTACAAAGAAGTTTCATGGCACACACAAGTACGATAAGTCACCTAAATTACGTACTGGGAGTGCTTGAAGTTCTTTGATTTGTATTCCCTGGAATGCAAGGAGGAAAGATGCATGCTAATAGTATACCAAACTTGCACACGAAAATCACTCCCTACGAAAGCAGAAGACTCGGCAGGAGATGCAATATTCCTCAATGAAAAGCAGGGGTGCCATGAATACACTAAGAGACAACACAGTAAGTGTCAGGGGCCCATGACTGTTCAGCTGCCTCCCAGCATATATAACAGGGATTACCAATAGACCCCTGACTGTCTTCGAAAAGGTGCTCGACAGACACCTAAGTCAGTACCTGATCAGCGGGGATGTGGTTCGTACGTCAGTTTATGTGTGGCCAGCATTAATAGCCTTGTTGATCAGACTCTGATCCACTATGAGGCCTGGTCTCAGACCGGGCTGAAGGGACAGTGACCTCCAGGTAGCACTAGCAAATGGGAGGTAATCAGGTTGAATCCAAGAATGATAATTAACTCTGTTTTCTTGGATTAAAAGCCCTTTAACCAGCATCAAGGCACTCTCTACCCCTTTGAATTAAATGCTTCCTTAGAGTTGCTATTTACGACATGAAACAAAACTGCAGCAGGCCACCAGCAGCAACAACCTGATTGACCAAGCACCAGACAAGCCTTGGCCCATGGCTGGGTCCTGGGAATAGAAAGACTCTTGGAACTCATCAAAGGTATATCAAAGATAAGGTATACCTAAGTTTTCAGACAGCTTGTTAGGTGAGTGTGGGTTGCATCCTGAGGAGAACCAAAGGACCTAGGTAAAATACAGTAGGACCCCAGTATTTGCCAGTCCACAGTTTCAGTTATCCGTGGTTTATCGTTGCCCAAAAATAAACCCTTAAGCTTTTTTAATAATGGCTTCAGAGTGCAAAAGTAGTGATGGTGGAAGTTCTTCAAACCCTAAGAAAAGCTGTGGAGTGTTTCCCATCAGTGGAAATGTAATAATTCTCTATTTATTGTGTGTAATTTATCAATTAAATTTTATAATAGGTATGTATAGAACCTACATATAGGGCTTGCTACTATCTGTGGTTTCGGTACTCACAGTACGTAGGTCTTTGTACCTTATACAGTGGACCCCCGCATAACGATCACCTCCGAATGCGACCAATTATGTAAGTGTATTTATGTAAGTGCGTTTGTACATGTATATTTGGGGGTCTGAAATGGACTAATCTACTTCACAATATTCCTTATGGGAACAAATTCGGATAGTACTGGCACCTGAACATACTTCTGGAGTGAAAAAATATTGTTAACCGGGGGTCCACTGTACTCTGTGGATATGGGGGTTCTACTATATACCACATTGATTTGACTTTCTTGGGTTATCCTTGGTTACTAATCCTCCTTAAAAAATTTGTTATACAATAATGTACAGTAATTTCTTTGCTTTATTTTGTTACACTGTTCCAATATACAGTGGACCCCCGGTTAACAATATTTTTTCATTCCAGAAGTATGTTCAGGTGCCAGTACTGACCGAATTTGTTCCCATAAGGAATATTGTGAAGTAGATTAGTCCATTTCAGACCCCCAAACATACACGTACAAACGCACTTACATAAATACACTTACATAATTGGTCGCATTTGGAGGTGATCGTTAAGCGGGGGTCCACTGTATAACCCAGTGTAGACTACAGTAAGCTGTGATTTTTACTTATTCTGTATCTCTGTTTACTTGCAGGATGACCATGGTCTCAGGCGTCTGCTTCCTCTGTACCACTTTCTACAAAATACATGTGTGAAAGCTGCTTTTGACATCCTTGTTCGTGAATTCAGAAATACCCAGTACATCAGAGACAACCTTGATAAGCAAGTTAAACGTTCAATGAAATTCCAGGTCTTGCTCTATCAGATTCACAACAGAACTAAGACTTACGATAAAGGAAAAAAGAAAAAAGGACAAGGTGGGAGTGGAACTAATTCACAGTCCCAAGAGAACAGCTCCCACAACAGAAGATCGCAACAGATAACCAATATTAAGGAAAATGAATATATACTCTCACAGGTCACAGTGGAGGATTTGCTCGATGCCAATGAGAAATGCAAAGTGCTTATGGACTTAGATTTGATCTTTATTCTAAATGTGATAATAAATGAAACTATCAAGTACACTTTGAGCGATTCATTACTGGAAGCCATTATTCAGATAAAGGACATCAGGAAAGTTGTTTTTTCCACCCACGTTACTCTTTTAGTGAGGATGCCTTTGACAAAAATCTGAAAGGCTTGGTTAAAGCAACTTACATCTTGTATAAGCACTTGGGCTACTCATTAGAACAAGTGGACGAGAAAGAAAATGCATGCCGTAAGGAAGCCACACAGGGTGATACACTTGCATCTACAATTATAGGTTTGTAGCAGATTACTTTCATTTATTTAATATTAGTATCTGGCATGAAGTCAAAGTCCTGGACCAGTTTGTCTTTAAATTAAATCGTCAATTGACAAAATAAATTACATGGTGTATAGATGGATGAATGATAGTGTTAGCTGACACATTATGAGAAAGACATTATGTTTGAAGCAAAGCTGTTACATTGTTTTATCTATGACTGGACTTTATAGAATATCAAGGTCAGGCACTGAAGATGTAATATATGAAGTCGATCTGTTGGAGTGTGAGCAGGGTAATATTTAGTGAAGGGATTCAGGGAAACCGGTTATTTTCATATAGTCGGACTTGAGTCCTGGAAATGGGAAGTACAATGCCTGCACTTTAAAGGAGGGGTTTGGGATATTGGCAGTTTGGAGGGATATGTTGTGTATCTTTATATGTGTATGCTTCTAGACTGTTGTATTCTGAGCACCTCTGCAAAAACAGTGATAATGTGCGAGTGTGGTGAAAGTGTTGAATGATGATGAAAGTATTTTCTTTTTGGGGATTTTCTTTCTTTTTTTGGGTCACCCTGCCTCGGTGGGAGACGGCCGACTTGTTGAAAAAAAAAAAAAAAAAAAATGAGGAGACTCATAACTCAATATGGATATTACAGTAAACCCTGGATATAACTTACTAATGGGGAGGGGGGGGGTGATTCTCAGAGTTAGTTAAATGAGAATGTTAAAAATTGCAGAAAAGCACCATATTACTCTATAGTATACATAATACGGTACTGTAAACAAAATTTACAATTTTTTTTTTTTAACAAGTTGGCCATCTCCCACTGAGGCAGGGTTACCCAAAAAGAAAGAAAATCCCCAAAAAGAAAATACTTTCATTATCATTCAACACTTTCACCTCACTCATACATAATCACTGTTTTTGCAGAGGTGCTCAGAATACAACAGTTTAGAAGCATATACGTATGAAGATACACAACATATCCTTCCAAACTGCCAATATCCCAATCACCCCCCCTTTAAAGTGCAGGCATTGTACTTCCCATTTCCATGACTCAAGTCCGGCTATATAAAAATAAACGGTTTCCCTGAATCCCTTTACTAAATATTACCCTGCTCACACTCCAACTGTTCGTCAGATCCCAAATACCATTCGTCTTCATTCACTATCTAATTTGCTCACACATGCTTGCTGGAAGTCCAAGCCCCTTACCCACAAAACCTGCTTCACCCCCTCCCGCCAAACTTTTCGAGGACGACCCCTACCCCGCCTTCCTTCCCCTACAGATTTATACGCTCTCCATGCCATTCTACTTTGATCCATTCTCTCTATATGACCAAGCCACCTCAACAACCCCTCTTCAGCCCTCTGACTAATACTTTTATTAACTCCACACCTTCTCCTAATTTCCAAACTCCAAATTCTCTGCATAATATTTACACAACACATTGCTAAGATAACAGGGATATCTTGCTACTCCTACTTACACTTTGGTCACACTTCACAGACACGCACATGCATATATATATATACATACATCTAGGTTTTTCTCCTTTTTCTAAATAGCTCTTGTTCTTTTTTTATTTCTTCTATTGTCCATGGGGAAGTGGAAAAGAATCTTTCCTCCGTAAGCCATGCGTGTCGTATGAGGCGACTAAAATGCCGGGAGCAATGGGCTAGTAACCCCTTCTCCTGTATACAATTACTAAAAAAGAGAAGAAGAAAAACTTTATAAAACTGGTTGCTTAAATGTGCGTGGATGTAGTGCGGATGACAAGAAACAGATGATTGCTGATGTTATGAATGAAAAGAAGTTGGATGTCCTGGCCCTAAGCGAAACAAAGCTGAAGGGGGTAGGAGAGTTTCAGTGGGGGGAAATAATATGGGATTAAATCTGGAGTATCTGAGAGAGTTAGAGCAAAGGAAGGGGTAGCAGTAATGTTAAATGATCAGTTATGGAACGAGAAAAGAGAATATGAATGTGTAAATTCAAGAATTATGTGGATTAAAGTAAAGGTTGGATGCGAGAAGTGGGTTCATAATAAGCGTGTATGCACCTGGAGAAGAGAGGAATGCAGAGGAGAGAGAGAGATTTTGGGAATGTTAAGTGAATGTATAGGAGCATTTGAACCAAGTGAGAGAGTAATTGTGGTAGGGGACTTGAATGCTAAAGTAGGAGAAACTTTTAGAGAGGGTGTGGTAGGTAAGTTTTGGGGTGCCAGGTGTAAATGATAATGGGAGCCCTTTGATTGAACTTTGTATAGAAAGGGGTTTAGTTATAGGTAATACATATTTTAAGAAAAAGAGGATAAATAAGTATACACGATATGATGTAGGGCGAAATGACAGTAGTTTGTTGGATTATGTATTGGTAGATAAAAGACTGTTGAGTAGACTTCAGGATGTACATGTTTATAGAGGGGCCACAGATATATCAGATCACTTTCTAGTTGTAGCTACACTGAGAGTAAAAGGTAGATGGGATACAAGGAGAATAGAAGCATCGGGAAGAGAGAGGTAAAGGGTTTTTATAAACTAAAAGAGGAGGCAGTTAGGGTAAGATATAAACAGCTATTGGAGGATAGATGGGCTAATGAGAGCATAGGCAATGGGGTCGAAGAGGTATGGGTAGTTTAAAAATGTAGTGTTAGAGTGCTCAGCAGAAGTTTGTGGTTACAGGAAAGGGGGTTTGCAGGAGGGAAGAGGGCGATTGGTGGAATGATGATGAAAGAGAGTAGTAAGGGAGAAAAAGTTAGCATTGAGAAGTTTTTACAAAGTAGAAGTGATGCAAGGAGGGAAGAGTATATGGAGAAAAAGAGAGAAGTTAAGAGAGTGGTGAAGCAATGTAAAAAGAGAGCAAATGAGAGAGTGGGTGAGATGTTATCAACAAATTTTTGTTGAAAATAAGAAAAACTTTTGGAGTGAGATTAACAAGTTAAGAAAGCCTAGAGAACAAAAGGATTTGTCAGTTAAAAATAGGAGAGGAGAGTTATTAAATGGAGAGTTAGAGGTATTGGGAAGATGGAAGGAATATTTTGAGGAATTGTTAAATGTTGATGAAGATAGGGAAGCTGTGGATTTTTGTGTATAGGGCAAGGAGGAATAACATCTTGTAGGAGTGAGGAAGAAACCAGTTTGAGTGTGGGGGAAGTTCGTGAGGCAGTAGGTAAAAAAGAAAGGGGGTAAGGCAGCCGGATTTATGGGATAAAGATAGAAATGTTAAAAGCAGGTGGGGATATAGTTTTGGAGTGGTTGGTGCCAATTATTTAATAAATGTATGGAAGAGGGTAAAGGTACCCAGGGATTGGCAGAGAGCATGCATAGTTCCTTTGTATAAAGGCAAAGGGGATAAAAGAGAGTGCAAAATTATAGGGGGAAAAAGTCTGTTTAGTGTACCTGGGAAAGTGTATGGTAGAGTTATAATTGAAAGAATTAAGAGTAAGACGGAGAATAGGATAGCAGATGAACAAGGAGGCTTTAGGAAAGGTAGGGGGTGTGTGGACCAGGTGTTTACAGTGAAACATATAAGTGAACAGTATTTGGGGTAAGCTAAAGAGGTGTTTGTGGCATTTATGGATTTGGAAAAGGCGTATGACAGGGTGGATAGGGGGCAATGTGGCAGATGTTGCAAGTGTAGGTGTAGGAGGTAGGTTACTGAAAGCAGTGAAGAGTTTTTACGAGGATAGTGAGGCTCAAGTTAGAGTATGTAGGAAAGGGGGGAAATTTTTCCCAAATAAAAGTAGGCCTTAGACAAGGATGTGTGATGTCACCGTTTGGGTTTTTTAATATATTTATAGATGGGGTTGTAAAAGAAGTAAATGCGAGGGTCTTGGCAAGAGGCGTGGAGTTAAAAGATAAAGAATCACACACAAAGTGGGAGTTGTCAAGCTGCTCTTTGCTGATGACACTGTGCTCTTGGGAGATTCTGAAGAGAGTTGCAGAGATTGGTGGATGAATTTGGTAGGGTGTGCAAAAGAAGGAAATTAAAGGTGAATACAGGAAAGAGTAAGGTTATGAGGATAACAAAAAGATTAGGTGATGAAAGATTGAATATCAGATTGGAGGGAGAGAGTATGGAGGAGGTGAACGTATTCAGATATTTGGGGAGTGGAGGGGTCAGCGGATGGGTCTATGAAAGATGAGGTGAATCATAAAAATAAATGAGGGAAAAAGAGTGAGTGGTGCACTTAGGAGTCTGTGGAGACAAAGAACTTTGCCCTTTGGGAGGCAAAGAGGGGAATGTATGAGAGTATAGTTTTTACCAAACGCTCTTATATGGGTGTGAACGTGGGTGATTGAATTTTTGCAGCGAGGAGAAGGCTGGAGGCAGTGGAGATGTCTGTCTGAGGGCAATGTGTGGTGTGAATATAATGCAGAGAATTCGTATTTTGGAATTAGGAGGGGGTGCGGGATTACCAAAACTGTTGTCCAGAGGGCTGAGGAAGGGTTGTTGAGGTGGTTCGGACATGTAGAAAAGAATGGAGCGAAACAGAATGACTTCAAGAGTGTATCAGTCTGTAGTGGAAAGGGAAGGCGGGGTAGGGGTCGGGCCCAGGAAGGGTTGGAGGGGGGGGGTAAAGGAGGTTTTGTGTGCGAGGGGCTTGGACTTCCAGCAGGCATGCGTGAGCGTGTTTGATAGGAGTGAATGGAGACAAATGGTTTTTAATACTTGACTGCTGTTGGAGTGTGAGCAAAGTAACATTTATGAAGGGATTCAGGGGAAAACCCGGGAGGCCGGACTTGAGTCCCGGAGATGGGAAGTTACAGTGCCGCACTCTGAAGGAGGGGTGTTAATGTTGCAGTTTAAAAACTGTAGTGTAAAGAAAACCCCTTCTGGAAACAGGGATGGAGTGAATGATGGGGGGAAAGTTTTTCCCTTTTTCGGGCCACCCTCCCTTGGTGGGAATCGGCCGGTGTATAATATAATATAATTTTAAAAAAAACCCTTTCCCCTTGGACAGGACATCTCCACTACCCCCAAACCCCCCCCTCCTTCCCTGCAGCAT